AGAGAGAGAGAGAGAGAGAGAGAGAGAGAGAGTATGAATAGTTAGTAAATAAGTAATTGGATGCAGAAAATCTGGCAGTAGCATACAATTCGTCAGAAAGATTGTAAAAGAATTAGACTGCCCACGATATCACTCTTTCCAGAGAAAGGTTCTAGATTCCAGAGTGAGAGGATAAACAGAGGATAGGAGGAGGCAGGTCTCAATGGAAACAAAAGTGAACTCACAGATCAGGGACTTCACCTTCTCAGCCCAAAGAAATATGGAGCATTCCTGTTCTCAGTGTCGGAGGGAAAGCCCAGTCCCACATTCTCTCCCCTTTTCCTTCTTCCTCCATCCGCCTCACTGGGACACACCTACTGTCTCCAGTGGCTGCCACTGAAGCTTTATCTTCTCCACAATCTGTTCCCAGAAAGCCCTCTTACTTATTCATGGAGGCCAAGATTACGCAGTACAGCAGTGAGGCGCCAGAGAGGCATGTTTTAAAGTTCCTAGTCTCAAGGCATGAATCCTCAAAGCTCATCATTTAGCAAATTGTTCTTGTATCTTTTCACTCTCCAAACTAGTCAACTCCCCTGGGATACAAAGGAGAAAGAACAGTGGAGATTTTTCATCAGCTTTGCATTTCTGGAGAAAGTGGCAGGGGAAAATGGGTGTGTATCTTCTAAGAAAAAAATATTTTTTCTTGGTTTGATTTCACAGTCATAAGGAACAGTTCATTCCTGTAAAGAACAGGTTTCAGGTGCCATCTCCTCTGATGTGCCTTCTTTGAATGATCTTTGGAGATTTTAGAAATTATTTCGAATTTATGATGTTATAGACAAATGAAGTTCTTTCTTTTGTATTTTTCCTCTTTTATTTTTATGTTCAAGTGCTTACCTATTTTTCATTTTCATGTGTTTGCCTATTTATTTAATTATTTAAACTGACAGGTAATATTGTAAATATTTATTATGTACAATATGATAGCTAGAAATATTTTCCATTGTAGTGGGGAAAGGTGGTATATGCCTGTAATCCCAACAACTCTAGAGGCTGAGGCAGGTTTTCGAAGCCAGACTCATCAAATTAGCAAGGCCCTATGCCACTTAGTGAGACCCTGCCTCAAAAATAAAATAATATAAAAACAGGGCTGGGGATGTATCTTAGTGTTTAAGCACCCATAGGTTCAATCCATGGTACTGAAAAAAAAATTTAAAAATGCTCAGCATCACTGATCATTAGCATAACACGTATAAATCTGCTAGGAGACATCACCTCACATGTATTAAAATAACTATTATCAAAAGCACAGAAGTTACTGTTTTTGGCGAGGATACTGATAAAAGGGACCATTAAATTCTGTTGTCTGAAATGTAAATCAGTATAGTAATTATGGAAGAAAGTGTGCAGGGATTTAGAAAAATTAAAATAGTACTCCTATCATATCCACCAATACCATTGCTGCATGTTTATCCAGAGGACATGAAATCAATATGTCAAAATAAATGTATATTCCCATTATCATGGCAGCATTATTCACAACAGTCAAGTGTTTACTATCAGATGAATAGATTGAAAATGTGGCTCATTATATACACAAAATGGAACAGTAGTCATGCTAAGAAACAGGTGATCCTAGCCAGACATGGTGGCACACCCCTGTAATTGCAGTGCCTTGGGTGTCTGAGGCAGGAGGATCCCAGGTTCAATGCCACCTCAATAACTTAGCGAGACCCTGTTTTAAAATAAAATGAAAAGAAAAGGCTGGGGATGTGGTTCCATGATTAAGTACCTCTGTATTCAATCCCCAGGAAAGGAAGGAAGGAAGGAAGGAAGGAAGGAAAGAAGGAAGGAAGGAAGGAAGGAAGGAAGGAAGGAAGAAAGAAAGAAAGAAAGAAAAAAAGAAATCTTAGCATTTGCTGCTACATGGATGAACCTCTGTGACATTATGTCAAGTGGAATAAACCAGACTTATGATGAAAAATACCAATGACCAATGAGCTAACTTGCTCACTGATATGTAAGTCTGAAGAAGTAGAATTTGTAGACAGAGTAGAACGGTGACTATCAGAGGTGCGGGGTTGAAGGTTAGATACATTTTGGTCAAGGGCACAAAATTCCAGTCAGAATGAAGAATGCCAAGAAATCACTTTTACATCACAATGAATATAAGTAATGAATCACAATGAACTGCATACTTGATAAAAAAGAAAGAATAACATACAGCTTGAAAATTATTTGCAAACACATATGTAAGAAGTGTCAAGTAGCCAGACAAAGCAATCAATTTTTAGCACAAGAAAAGTACAGTGTGTATAATTTCTAAATGAGCAAAGTTCCTTTGTGCAAACACCATAACGTGCACGATGTTAACTACCATGGCTGTGACATCACTAAGCAATCCAATGTTATGACCACAATCATAGACAATCTATCCTTTACACAAATCGTCAAGAATACAACATGTGACTGCACTCACACATGAACAATGATATTTAAAAACATTTGTGTTTCAGCATAAGAAAGTCCCTTTATTTCTGAGGTCTCAAAGACCAGAGGCTGCTCTGCTGAGGAGTCTCCCGAGGGCCCCCTTCACATCCTTGTTCCTCAGGCTGTAGATGAAGGGGTTCAGCATGGGGGTGATCACACTATACATCACTGAGGTGATCAAACGTCTCTGGGAAGCATGGGTCACGGCAGAACTGAGATAAACCCCAAATGCTGTTCCATAAAACAAGGAAACCACACAGAGGTGAGACCCACAGGTGGAAAATGCTTTGTATTTGTTCACAATGGAGGACATCTTCAATAAGGAGGAGATAATCTGAGAGTAAGAGTAGAGGATCCCAGTCATAGGAATCACACCCAGCAAGGCAGACAACACATGCATAACAACGTAATTGACATGAGTATCAGAGCTGGCTACATCGAGAAGCTGAGTCAGCTCACAGAAGAAATGTGGGATTTCAGTGCCTACGGAGAAGGTCAGTCGCTTCACCAGTAGAATATGAATCAGGGAGACCCAGAACATGATGAACCAACACAACAGAACCAGGAGGACACAGAGCCAGGTGTTCATGATGACGGTGTAATTCAGAGGGTGGCAGATGGCCACAAAGCGGTCAAAGGCCATCACAGATAAGAGGAAATTATCCATTCCAATAAAAATAATCAAAAAATACACTTGAGTGAAGCACTCTATGTAGGAGATGTCTTTTCTCTGCACCTGGATATTCACCAGCATCTTTGGGACCGTGGTGGAGATGAAACAGATGTCAACAAAGGACAGGTTGGAGAGGAAGAAGTACATGGGGGTGTGGAGGTGGGAGTCAGAGCTGACAGCCAGGATGATGAGCAGGTTTCCAAGCACTGTGACCAGGTACATGGACAGGAACAGTCCAAAGAGAACAGGCTGCAGTTCAGGATCATCTGAGAGGCCCAGGAGGAGGAACTGTGATACACATGTATGGTTCACTTCTTCAATGCAGTGGGTGTAATTTCTGCAGAAGAAGGTAAAAGCAATATTCAATGATCACTCAGCTAGAAGCTCAGCTAGTCCTCACCTCACGTATCACCCTTGGGAGTGTCCTTCATTCCTTGTGAGTCTGCCAAGGAGAATGACTTACTCACCCAAGAGAAATTCCATTTCTCTTTTAGAGGTATGATCAGACTTTCTTTAAATTAGCAAAAGTGTCTTTTCTCATCTACTTGCAAGTTTTAATTCTCATTTTTAAAAATTTATACACATGAGTTCATGCCTCCTCAATGAAATCCCTCCATAAGAATTACAGAAATTTCTCATCCTTTTCTTGGAAATGTTCATAATTCTTCATGCTATATCTCTATAATCATGATTAATCATGGATTTTTACTCTATCTAGACTTTATGCTATGACATGAGACTTGATAGTGATGTGGTAGTTCTCTCCCTTATTTTCTTTCTACATATGTAGTTATTTCTATGACCTATTTATGAGGATTACAAGTTCTTTTGTGCTCAGTAGGAGTCTCAGTAATGCTTGCTGTAAATAAATGCTGTAATTATTATGTTAATGTTACTTTAAAACTCCTCCTTTATGATGTTTTATGTGTGTAAGTTTACCGATATACATGATATAACCGTGGCTTTAAAACGGTATTCTGGAGTCAGAATTCCTGGAGTAGAGTTTTGCTCCACCAGCATTCCTTCGCTGTGATGTTGAACAAGGCACACAAACTCTTTACCTACCTTTACCTCACCTCTACAGCTGAGGTAGTCAGTGTTCACCCCATGGTATGTAATATTTCTACTTGTGATTCCTGTGGTACCCGATGGTCATTTACTACACAGGAGCTTTTCTTCTTCACATATCAGTACAACAGGATTCATTGCTATCATTTGGCATTCTCCCTCTGAAACTGAATTCATCATCATGGATGAATTCTGTTCCTTATAAAAGAGCATTTTGGGTGCTTCTTTGACTACCATCTGCATTTCTAATTAATGAAGACCCCCATGGTTCCTTCGTTCAGAGAATGTCTGCTGAGTAAACTCTTCCAAGAAGAAGAAGAAGAAGCAGCATGTAGCCCACACCACTTTTAAAATCAAATATAAGGTACTTGTAATAGTGTGTGCTTCTGTGTGGGGCTCTTGGATGGGGCATATTATATTAAAATCCATCATAGTTAATAATCAAAATATATCTAATAGATTTGACTACAAAATCAAATATGATATAAAATCATTCATTCTAGAAAAGTAAAAGGCAAATTTAAGATTTAAAAAATGAATATTTCTATTCTCCATGACAAAAAGGGTCAGCTTTGTGAATGCCCAAGGAATAAATATAAAGACTGGAAAAAAATGACTGAGGACAAATTTTGTCTATGAAGGCAGACAGGAGAGTCTACTCTACATTCAACACAATGTACTTACATTAAAACACTACAGTATTTGTGCAAAATTCATGAACCTGCCAAGGCAGTCACCACCAACCTCAGCTTTAAATATTTTCCAAAACATACTGGGTTGGTAATATGAGAAAAGAAAATTGTACTAAGTGTTGAGCATCAGAAACAATTAAACTAACAGTGTATATAGTGTGGACCTTGAAGTGAAATGATAACTAGAACAATAGAGAACTAATAAGAGCTATCAATTAGGCCAGTAAAAAATAGTGAGGAAATATAATGGTAAAATACATTCAACTTTGAAACAAAATAAGTCATACCTCATCCATAAAAGATCTTCAGTGAGTAGTTAACAATAAATAATTGGATGGAGGAAATCTTAGAAGAACCTATAATACTAGTGAACAATTGGAGGTTCATTAAAAAAAATCCTATCATAGAGAGAAGCTCTAGATCCCAAAGAGTGAGAAAAGGAAACAGAACACCTGGAAGAGAGGTCCTAATGGAAACTGAAGTGCCTCCAAACTACACAGGTACTCCACACTCGTTCCTCATAGACTCCATAAACATGGATCATTCATATTCTTACTATTCTAGAGGTAAAACCCAGTACCCACGCCATCTCCTCTTTCCTTCTTCCTCTGCTAGCCTTACAGGGACACCAGCTCTCTCAGATATTGTCATTGAAGCTTATTCTTCTCCACCATCTGTCCCTGGGAAGCTCACTTGACTCTTCACAGAGGCTGAGACCAGAGAGGTGCAGGCGAGGGGCCAGAGAGACAAGTTGAGCTTAAAGTTTCTACTGTCTCAGGTTTGAATTCTCAGATCTCCTCATTAAGCAAATTGTCCTATTGTCTTTCCACTCTGCAAACAGTTCACCTCCCTTGAGGGACAAAGGAGATGGCAGGATGGAAATTTTTCAGTCAGTTTTGTGTTTATATAGTGGGAGGAATAGATTTATGTAATCCAAGAAAAATCTCTTTTTTCTTTGTTTTGGTTTAAAAGTCATAGTATGTGCTAAAAGGAAATGATTAATTTTCACAAGGAACTAGTCCCATGAACCAGCCAACCCCCTCAATATGCCTGCTTTTAACAATCTTTGGAAATTGTAAAAATCATTTCAGACTCACAAAGTTGGGTGGGGAAGGAGTCCTTTCTTTTTAATTTTCCATAGCTCTTTTATTTTTCATGTTTACATGTCTATTTATTGAATATTTATTCAAATTGACAGATAAAATTATAGATATGTATGGGTACAACAAGAAATCTAGAATTATTTTGCATTATGCAATGGTGAGAACTAAAAATCAGCATGTGCATTACCTCATTAATATCTGTTTTAGGGTGAGAATATTTCACATCAGCTCAACATTTTTTAAGAATACAATACATCATCACTAACTAGTTGAATTGCTAGGCCATAGGTCTCTTGAATTGTTCCTCATATTTAAAAGGAATTCTTACCCTTTGTCCAACATTTCCCCCAGTGTTACCTTCCCAATGCCCAGCCTGTGGTGACCACTCTTCCTCATTCTATTTCTTTTATATCACCTTCTAAAATTTTCCACAAATGAGCGGTCATGTAGTATTTATCTCAGTTAGCCTAGGTGACTTCGATTCCTATAAGGTTCTCCAGGTTTATCCATGTGGTTGTAGATGATTTCCTTTTCTAATTCAGAAATCCCATAAGGACTTTTCAGAATATAAATTTTAAAAAGGGTCAGCAACTAGAAAATAGATATAAAAAAAGTTCTAGGTATGGAAATATATTTTAGTATGGAAATTAGAATTCATTGTGTTTACATACTACATTTTCTTTATCCACTCCCCTGTTGATGGACAGTTAGATTGATTACATACCTTGGCTATTTTGAAAATCTTGAAAAGCAGATATCTTTTCAAGATACTCATTTTATTTACTTGGATTCTACCCAGCAATGGTGAATCAGACAGCTCCGGAACTTCCTCATGCTGGGAATAAAATGACCCCTTGCTGTGGAGGGGCACCACTGATACTTTCTCTAACATAGCCTAGCTAGATCTACATAGGTATAGACTCCGATTTTGTTTCTGTAAACTTTAACCAATTCAGTGGGGACCACAGAGAAGCAATCTAGCTGCATCTCTTCAGTTTGATCAAAACTGAAAATGAAATTTTTTTTTTCCTTTTCTATTGTTCTCCTATTTCTTGTGAAGGTCATTGGCCAGTTTCAGCCAGCCATCAATCAAGGTACTGGGCTAGAATTCCATGACCACAAATACTGGTATTAAAAATTTATATTTCCCTCTGATAGCCATGCTTCTCTATAAGAGGGTTTGTATTGAGGGAATTCTTGTAAATAAAAAAAAAGGAGTTTAAGATTGCTTTGTGCTGGGCATGATAGTGCACACCTGTAATCCCAGTGGTTTAGGAAGACGAGAAAGGAAGATCATGAGTTCAAAACTAGCCTCAGCAAAAGTGAGGAACTAAGCAATTTAGTGAGACCTACTGCAGGCCCGTTTCTTTTTTTTTTTTTTTTAATCACTGGGCATCACATAGGGACCCTGTCTCTAAATAAACACAAGATAGGGCTGGGGATGTGGCTCAGTAGTTGAGTGCCCCTGAGTTAATCCCCAGTGCCCACCCTCCAAAAAAAAAAAAAGATTGCTTTGTTTCTGGGTCTTCACTAAAATCAAGGTTACTAAGAGTTAATATAATATCAAGTATAATTCTATGTACAAAAAGTGTAAAAGTTTTTACTTGTGTTTCAATTAAAGTACTATAAAAAGCACAAAGTATCTCATCTTACTAAAATTGAGTAATTTGTCTAAATTCCGAAATCCTGTAAGGATTTTTCAGAATATAAATTTTAAAAAGGGACAGCAACTAGGAAATAGATATAAAAAAGTTCTAGGTATTAAAATATATTTAATATGGAAATTAGAAGTAAAAAGAAGTGTTTCTGGATGAGGAAGGAAGTCTTTTGTTATGACAAATTAAACAAGTTGTAGTGTGTCTGTTACACAAGGTTTTCAGAGGATAAATCTCAGAAATCACAAAAAGGTTTGTGTCTAATTAAGTTGAGTATAATTAGCATTATCAGTGAAAGTTATTTAAAGCTTTTTTCCTAAGGTCAAAAATAATATAATGATATAAACAAGAATTTATTTATTAAATTTATTAAAATTCTCTATGTGTTAAAGTAACAATGGTTTCTTAAAACACTAATCTGCTCTTATCTATCAAAATAATTTCTTGAATACATTAGGTTTTATTGTTTAAGGGAACTATTAGACTTTTCTAGTAGACTTAAAATATATGAGAACTTTGTAAAATAATATTTAAGAAAGAGGCAAAGATCAGGTTCATAAATAAAACACTTTACCTAAGATTTGTCAAAAGGTAGAATAACTCTAAATTAGGCTAAACTTAAGTTCATTTAAATTTAAGTTCTACATATAGATTTTTGTTATAAAAATTACTGTGATCTCAAAATAAACAGGGGATATAGTATATAACTAACTAAGGTTTGGGATTATAAAAAATATGTTTCTTGGTTCATAGTTATTATACACACTGATTATGTCTCTGCACTTGTTAATTCCATTTTGTATTTTCCTTGTAA